GCGGCATCTAGCTTTTTTCGGTGTTTTTTCCGCCCGAGCGGTTTTTTCACCCCCCCCATTGGGTGCCCCAAGTGACCAGTGTGCAACAGAGGAAGTGGAATTCCATGGGCCGAGCCCCTTGGAGTTGCCATCCAGCTTTAGTTCACCCCGGTAATCCATCCGGTCGTCAAGCCATTTTTTCATCATCGTGCCGACCCACCAACACCAATCATCACCACCAGCAGCAGCAAACGGACCATCTAGCTGCAACGGCTGATAGGTTGTTTACAACCGGCATAAGTATTAGACAATACATTTTGCAAGTCCATTGCCTCCCTATTGTAGTTTAATTTTGCCTCGTGGCGCGTGACTCTGTCTCTCACCCCTGGTAGGGGAGTATGGGGTATAGTGAGACAACTTTTTGCAAGTAGATATAAGTTTCTTTTTTTTTTTTTTCGATTTTTTTCTTCTTTTTGATTTGTTCGTACGTCGGGCAAAAAAATTAATTACTAGTAATTAAAATTAATTAATTAGTGAAGGTTTTAATTTTTTTTTCCTTCTTAAGTGGTTGCGCACCGCTTTTGCGCAACACTTATGACATCTTCCGATGCCTACGTTACGCAAACCAGATACTATGAACCGTCTTCGAAAGGACCATGGGTTGTCTTTTTTCGGCCCAAAAATAAACCTTTGAAAACTCTCGACATAACGAGAGATTTGCTGCGTAAGTATCCGGGAATCTTGGTACACAAAGAAAGATTCAACAAACTGCGTGTAGAAGCACCGACTTATGATGTGGCAAATAAAATTGCTGACCACGAGCTTTTTAGTGTTGAGTATAACATCTACATCCCTTCTCGAGATGTGGAGATAGAAGGCGTGGTCTCCGACGCGAGTCTGACTGTCGAGGGCTTGAAACATGCCTCGGGAACTTTTAAAAACTCGACATTCGCTACCGCGCTAGTGAAGATACTGGATGTAAGGCAACTGCATTCAGCATCTTTGCTAGACGGTAAAAAAGTTTATAAACATTCAGACTCGTTCCGGGTGACTTTCGCAGGTTCAGTTCTCCCAAACTTTGTTAAAATTGATAGTGCTTGTTTTCCGGTGCGACTGTTTGTACAGAGGGTATATAATTGTACCAACTGCAAAAGGCTGGGACACTCGGCCAGCCATTGCGGCAACAAAACTCGTTGTGGCAAATGTGGTGAAAACCACAAAGAGGATTCTTGCCACAAAGAATCAGTAAAATGCGCTTACTGTGGCGAGAATCCTCACCCCTTGCAGGAGTGCCCGATGTACAAGCAGCACTCCGATAAAGTGCAGCGTTCAATCTCTGGACGCTCCAAGCAGACATATGCTCAAATGTTGAAGGCTGCATCAGCCGTCCAAGATGCAAACCAATTTTCGGTTTTGTCAGTTGAAGAATCGGACTCTGACTCATCCGATGAAGGTGATTCTACGGTGGTACACGCACCTTCAAAAATAGACGGTTCCTCAAAAAGAAAATGCCCCTCCCCGAAAGTGCGCCGTAAGAAAACTAAAGACACCTCCAGACGATTGCCAAATTCCCAGGGTAATGGGGATGAAAAAACAAAACCGAAGGCTCCTGTTGATCCAATCCCTGGATGCAGCAAGAATTTTCCGCCATTGCCCAACAAAGATAAAAAAAATAAAAAAGCTGCTCCTCAAACTTCTCAAAAGAAATCCAAGTCCGAACGAGGTTTGCTAGCTTTTTCGGACATTGTGGAATTCATATTAAACATGTTCAACATACAAGACCCTCTAAAAAGCTTAGTTTCTGCCTTGCTTCCAACATTAGAATCATATCTTAAGCAATTGACTGTTTCATGGCCCCTCCTTGCATCAATCATATCTTTCGATGGATAATTCGTCGAACGAGGTTGAAGATAAAGTATTGGTAATGGCGAACGTTATAGTTTATTTCGCAGTGCTGTGATAAATATTCAATTAATTAAGTGTGAAATTGTGCTTGTGCCGCGGTAGAATTGATCCTACGCGTGCCCCGTAGTGATAATTTATTGCTTAAGTAGGAGAACGGTTACTGTTGCCGCTGGTTCTCGTTCAATTTTTGTGTTTTCCCTTCGCCCGGCAAGCTATTTGGTACCCTTTTAGTAAGCTACGGCATTGTAAATTTTTGCTTTCGTTCGTTTTTACTTGTGTCTCTGTAGTGTTGCATGTAAAGTTTATGTGTATAGGTGATATATATGGCTGAGTGTGCAATATGTAATTTGGGGATTTTGGTAAGTGATTTGCCGGTTATCTGTGTGCCATTAAAAAACCTGGCAAATCAGCGTCTGACCATAACTCATACCGTCCGATTGCTATGCTTTCGTGCATTAGGAAATTGTTGGAGAAAATGATCCTTCGGAGACTCGATCATTGGGTCGAATCAAATAACTTGCTATCAAATACACAGTTTGGGTTCCGCAAGAGCAAAGGAACAAACGATTGTCTAGCGCTGCTTTCCACAGATATTCAACTGGCCTTTGCGCACAAGGAGCAATTGGCTTCAGTATTCTTGGACAGGGGGCTTTTGATTCAGTTTCCATTGAAATTCTGTCAGACAATCTGCACAGATGTGGACTTTCTGGAATTTTAAATAATTTCTTGTACAATTTGTTGTCAGAAAAGCAAATGAACTTTTCTCTTGGAAAACTGACAACTTCCAGAATTAGTTACATGGGCCTGCCCCAAGGCTCATGTCTCAGCCCTCTTCTTTATAACTTTTATGTCAAAGATATCGACAACTGTTTGGCAGAACAATGCACGCTTAGACAACTTGCAGATGACGGTGTGGTTTCCGTAAGAGGTCCACATGCCGTGGACTTGCAAGGACCATTGCAAAGTTCTTTAGATAACTTGTCTTCTTGGGCTAGGAATCTAGGGATCGAATTCTTGCCGCAGAAAACTGAACTGGTAGTGTTTACTCGAAAGCGGTACCCAGCCCAAATGCAACTTAATCTTTTGGGCAGAAACATTACTCAATCATTGTCTTTCATGTACCTTGGGGTCTGGTTTGATTCAAAGTGCACTTGGAATACCCATATTACGTATTTGAAGCAAAAATGTCAGCAGAGGATCAACTTTCTCCGTTCAATTTGCGGCACATGGTGGGGTGCTCATCCGGGAGACTTCATAATGCTTTATAAAACAACTATTCTCTCTTCCTGGCTCTTCCTGCTTTCTCTCGGCAAGAAAAAGTCACCTAATAAAATTGGAACGAATTCAATATCGTTGTCTGCGTATTGCTCTAGGCTGTATGCACTCAACGCATAACATGAGTCTCGAGGTTCTGGCAGGAGTAACACCCCTCCAGAACCGTTTCTGGGAGCTCTCTCTCAGAATACTAATCAAATGCGGAGTGACGAACACACTTATAATTGCTAATTTTGAAGAAATTCTTGGGCTGAACACACAATCTCGATTTATGAGAATCTACCACCACTACATATCATCAGATATGTGTCTTCCTTGTTATACTCCAGACCGTGTTCACTTCACCAATCGCAGTTCCTCAATTGAATATGATCTGACCATGAAACAAGCAACTCATGGGATTCCCGATCAACTTCGACCTATTATTATTCCGCGTATTTTTACTGAAAAGTACCAACAAGTCAATTGCATGAAAAGATATTTTACAGACGGGTCCCGTCTCAATGGATCCACTGGCTTCGGTGTCTTCAATGAAAACTCTAGCGCCTTCCGCAAACTTCAGGAACCTTGTTCCGTTTATGTTGCTGAGCTGGCAGCAATCAACTTCGCATTGGGGATGATTTCCAACATGCCCGCAGACCATTACTTCATCTTCACGGATAGTCTCAGTTCGATTGAGGCTATTCGGTCGATGAAACAAGGTAGGCACTCATCTTATTTCCTTTCAAAGGTAAGGGAGCAGATGTGTGTGCTGGTCGAAAGATCATATATGATTACCTTTGTATGGGTCCCCTCACATTGCTCAATCCCAGGCAATGAGAAGGCGGACTCTCTCGCAAAGGTGGGCGCGCAGGAAGGCGAATTGTATGACAGGCAAATTTCACACGATGAATTTTACCATTTAGTGCGTCAGAGTACCCTTTCGAGTTGGCAAACCGATTGGGACACTGGAAATCTTGGACGGTGGTTACATTCAATTATTCCTAATGTTTCTTCGAGAGCGTGGTTTAAAGGCTTGGGCTTAAGTCGTGACTTCATTCGCGTGATGAGTAGACTTATGTCCAACCACTACTCGCTAGATGCTCATCTCAATAGAATAAACCTCGTGGACAGCAACATCTGTCGGTGTGGAAACGGTTACGATGACATCGAACACGCAGTTTGGCAATGTACGGATAATGACGCCGCCAGAGAGCGACTTTTGAATACCCTCAAGGCCCAAGGAAGACAACCCTATGTTCCTATCAGAGACGTGTTGGCAACCCGTGATCTCTGCTATATGCAGTCCGTTTATGTTTTTCTTCAAATGTCTAGTATAAGAATTTAATTCCTTCTGTCTTTTGTCTCTCTTTATTAGTTTTTGTTTGTCTTGTCCCCCCGTCTCGATGAGTCTCATCGTCGCCCACTGGTCACCCACCATAGCCGGTCGAACTTCGGACGAAGCTAGAACAGCACTACCGTTCATACTGGCGACAACGCTCTGATGAGACAACGTTACCCTACCCCAAGCTCCTCCCCTGATCCTATCCTTCGAAAATGTACCCTTCTAACCTCGAGTAAGCCGCGAGTAATCGGCCCAACTCCTACTAGACATAGAACTAAGTGAATTTTGTTACACACAGTGAACAATGAATTATCGGCTCCGTAAAGCTAACGCGATTGAGCCTTCCAAATAAACGAACTAGATAAAAAAAAAAGATGGTGTACAAAAAAGTCAAGACGATAACTAAGATGTTATCTAAAACTGTTACATGCAATTGACGTTAGATTTAATTCCACAGATGTTATCAAAAGCTATACATTCTTACAAAATAAACTAGATATCAATATAATCCTCAAAATAAAATCTCTAGTTCTCGTCGCCACTGTAAGCACTCATAAAAAGCGACTGCGTATCGTTTATGGCCTCCATGGACATTTTCCTAGCCACTATTTTCAGTAAATCGACCCCAGATATATCATAGCCGATCTCGTCGTCTTCGTCATCATCCTCCTCTTTCTCATCTTCCTTTTTTGGGTTTCGATCCGTTAAATCATTACCAAATTGCTGGTCAGCAGCTTCTTCAACGTCGTCAAAGTATTCATCTTCGCTAAATACGCTGAATGCTTTTGACTGGGGACGTCCCTTGTGTTGATTATCAAGCTCTGTTTTCCTGATCGTGACTTTCGAACAGCCAAGTCCGATGTCCCCGAAACCATCTTCACAAATACCATCTTGCTCCACTTCTAACACTGGTTCCAAGGCGAACTGATTCCTGCGTGTGTTTAGTTCGCTATCGCCAATCATTCGATCCATCACCTGGGTCCGTTTGGTATGTCCTGAGGCACCAGCATCGTCTACCCAGCGAAGTGTCATCTCCGATTTAGCTCCAGGATTAGCCCGTCCTTTGCACTGATCAACAACGTTTGCAGGGTGGCTAAAGAAATCCGATGGTAGTGCAACGCTTTTACTCTTGCGTAGATTGATTTTCTTGCTCTGTGGTCGCGTCTTCTGCAAACATTGCACTTTGTTGAGTAATTCATCTCGCCTATGGAGAAACGTTGGTTATTAAAATGAATATGCCTAGAATAAAAACCTTTCGTTCTACTTACTGGTTCAAAAGCAAGCCATAGTCCTGCTTTAACTTATTAAATTGCATTTTGGATTGCATTGCGTATTCTTCCTGTTGCTGGTGCAGTTGTTCGACAAGCGCTTGCAATTCGGTGCTCCTATGGCGCTCAGCTGCCAATTGTTGCTGTAGGTATTTATTTTGCTCGCCAGCTTTCATCTTCCTATGCCCAACTATTCTTGTTTCCTGTACGGATTGTCTACCGTCAGATGGCACCACTTCACCTCCCAGTTTTACCAGAATTCCATGGAGAGCTTCGCTCGAAATACCCGAATTACTTCGAATGTCAAAATTTTTGATGGTTTTGTTGAAGTTCAAACAGTCCACTAACAATTTGGCTCCATTGTCTGTTAAACCACAATTTCTGAAGTGAATTTGCCGTATCCATTCGTCATCTTTGAGCACTTCAGTCAGCTCTGACATACCTTCGTCACCAATGTGCGGATTTGAACTAAGCGACAGAACTCGTAAACCTTGCATCTTTTCCGTATGAACGTCACCGTAACGGAGCGAATATTGCCAACTTTGAGCGAATCTCTTGATTTTCTGATACTTGACCAGCTCGGCCACTGATTGGCAACCTCGGGCCGTTAGTTGGCATCCGGACATGTTCAACGATTCAATTTTTGGCAAATGCATTACGGCACTGCAAATGGCTTCACACCCTTCGTCCCGAATGGCACTACGCGCCAAACTTAGCTCGGTGATGGAACAGTTTTGCTGGAGGCCCTTTTAAAAATGAAGTTTAAATGAAGATCAAAGCGAAAAAAAAACCCCATGGAATCATACATTAATAAATGTTCCCATGTAGATACCCTGAATGGGTAAGGCTTCCAGTACGAGAGTTTTGACGGTTTGATTGTTGACCAGGAAACTCTCCAAGCAGTCCATTAGCTTTGTGAACAATCGTTTGACCAATATAACCGGACGGTCAATCACAGCATCCATTCGGTGGCACCCATTATCCAGAACTTGAAATCGAAAAATATTTAAAAAAAAACATCTAGGTGCAAATGTGGCGCTGCAACTCACCATCATTCAGGACCTTTCTCAGTCGAATGGCAAGTAATTCCAGTGACGAATCTTCACGCAGAGCATCGGTAATAAGTTGCCAGTCGGTTTCCTTGAGCCGATCACCGAAAAAATTTACCGTTTGCCAACCATGGTCCGTCTTCGATTTACAAACTCCAGCTCCCCCTCCGCTGTTGCCAACGAGTTCAGCCAATGGCTGATAATTTTTCGCCCGACATAAGGTCAAATACCTCCGGTGGAAGTTCTTCATACAGCGATTGGTGCCATTAAGACGGTTGAGGCTTGAAGACGACATTTGAGGGGTCATATGTTCAGGTTTCATGTTTTAGGGAACTTGAAATGGAAACGATTTATACGAACCGAATCAAGAAAGTTTAAAATTGAAAAATGAAACAATTGGAGACGTGACAGAACGATGACCGACCTACAGGAATAATGGTAGAAAAAAAATCATTACTTAGGTTACTACGATGGGATTGTTAAAACATTTTCTATGGGCCATCGTGACAACATTCGGTAGATCTGGCACCACTGGCAAGGGGGTGGTGATCGTCAGATCGTCGTGCATGGAACATCGCTAGCGAGCACCAGCAGTCAGTTGCCGTCGAAGTCTGTTCACGGGAGGAACAACCGATCGTGTGTTGAGAAGTAAGGTAGAATCGCTGTCGCTCGTTCGCGCGGTTCCCGTCGTCGCGGAACTGAAATTTTCTCTCGCGAACAAAAACAAAGAGGTGCAATAACGAACAATAACAATAACAGCAGCATAGTAGCAATAAACTGTGGGTAGCGCAAGCAGAGCGAAGAACTAAAGGAAAGCTGCTAGAAACGTGAGCGCGCGCGGTTTCCGAACGCACGTGAAAGTGGAGGTGCACTTTGTGTTGATAATTTTTGTTTGGCAAAAAGATTACGAAAATTCGGAAGTGAAAACGAAGAATTTTATTGATGTAAGTTCCGCTTGTCGAGAGTGATTCGTTTTATGTTTGGTATATAGATGCGATTTTTGACATATTTGCTCAATGAGTAAATCAGAATGGAGTTTTTGAAGAACTGTGAGACGAAGAACGAAAACTGTGACCGTTAGCATTGGATCCTGTTTGCAAATACAATTTCTTTACAGTGATTACCAAGCTAAAATTGATGAAGTACCTGAGTTAAAAAAAAATCTGTTTGATTTTAGAGGTTTCATAGGTGGTTGTGATTTTTGTAAGAAGAGTTGAAGAATTGTGACTGTGATTTATACAGAATAAAAAAACAAACAATATCTTCTGGAACATAATGCAACAAGTGAACTGTGACTTGTAGTACGATAGAAGAAATCAGTTCTAGATCAATGTTATTAAATCCTCATTTGGATTTTTCAGTGGAACAGTAACATCTCGATTGAACTAATCATGGATGCACGGTTTGAATGGGCGAATGGAGACAAATTTTGAAAGTGTTTGATATTGGAGGGTAATAGTGAATTAACTACAGGAAACAGTCAATGAATTTTAAAATTTGGAGTAAACCTATCTAGGAGTAGATTTTGTGGCCTGGTGTCTAGTTCTAATCTGATGGTAATTGCGTCCCATACAGGGTCCCATAGCAGAAATCAGTAAGCCATGAAAACACGTTGTTGCTTCGTTCCATTGCGTCTAATCTAACCGGACAACCTGATTGGCTGTTTTCCATATTTGTTCTAGAACTTTGGGTTTATTGAGTATTAAGAAAATATGGGTGGTTAGCTACTATTTCCATTCAAAATCTCATTTTTATTAAACAAAAAGCAATTGGAACCGACTTGCGATGAGCGGCAGTATATGTGCATATAGAATTTATTTTAATCTTCCCTGGTGCCGCATTTGAAATAGTTGTTAATTTTCCTTTCAAAATTAAATACCATTAGAGAGTACAGTGTGGGTCCGATTATGGCAAAATGTTTCAAACATCTTTAATTTTAATTATCTGCACTTTAAAATCTTATATTCTATTTGATATTTTTCATACAAATCCGGGATAATTGCGCACCTTTGAACGAGATCAGATAATAAGCTTTCGCCATCCAGGCTATTACGTAGCTACTCCGTTTTCACTGCTTCACTTTAAACACTGGTTTTAGATCCACTGCGTAACAATCGCCTATTCACAACTTCAAAGTCCGTCATTTTGAACTTAGTAAAAATTGATATCAGAACTATTTATCCAGAATCTGAGTGGATTCCACTCTTCGGAGCAAAACCAGTTTACTTATTTTCTTTGACAACTCCATACAGCATGCAAAAATGAGTACAATCTAACCAGTTACTGAGTAGCCTCAAGTGTCCTGTAGTATCCTAAAACTTTGACTCTGACGCCATTTCGATTAGATAAGCCGTTTTCGTGCTATGATATATTGAAAATATCGAATAAGCCATTTTGAAAGATTAGGTGCAAGTGAAATTGGCGTATTTGCAGGACAAACATGGTTCATTACCCTTAGCGAACAATTATGCGATATTTTATGGAATTCTGATAGGTGTTTATACTAAAATGTTAATTAACGAAGATCCTGTCAACAATTAAATGAAGAGTCGTGATATTTTATCAGGAAACTCATGTAGTTTTGATGCAAAAATGACGGTGGGATTATGACCTAAGTTTAGACTCTCAGAAAGCCACCGGACGGTCCTATGAAAGATCTAAAACATACGTAAAAAGGCTAATCTATGAAAATGACCCTAAAGCTCTATGATCTCTTTTAAAACTGTTTTTAGTAAGTATTATTGGACCTTAATTCTTGAACATCAGTAAAACTGATAGACGACTCTTAAATATCACCCAATTAATCCATAACATAAGAACAAAAATCACCGAAAGAAGTTTGAATGATCCATCAAAATATAAATATGATCCATAGGAGAAATCGGAAATGGCTCTAATACTGGCCTATGGATCTAAGATTGGACCCATCGCTAAAAATCTTCTATATATCAATAGTATCTAAATGAACGCGTCATTAGGACGGTACTAATGGATATTTTTGGTCGCTATTGAAAATTTAGTCGATTGCTGAATTTATGTATGGGCCCAAATTAGGGGCATTTAGGCCGATATTACATCCATTTCCCCTATTTTATGTAAAATTAGGCAACGTAATAATAAAAAAAAAAAACGATAATCGAAGAAACTTCTAATTTTCAACCCACGTCAAATTCTAAAAAAAATCTTCACATTGTAAAAATGATCTCTACCCGAGCAGGAACCGATAGCTAATCGATAACAAATGAATATCTTAATGTGGTATGAAACCAGATTTCGGTATGCTTGTGGTATAAAACCTTGTTTTGATATTATTCAGTTATCGAAATATTTTGCAAAAATATCAAATGAATACCAAAATAACAAAATGTGATCTTTCAGTTTTTAGACAATAACACCTAAAAGAGTTATTGAATTGGTATTAGGAGACCTTCAAAATAACAAACTATGGTATTCTGGCATCTAAAAAAGCGTCTGTTATCCGTTTGTTATTGTAATAGCTAAATTATTTATTAGTTCGTTATTTCGTAGAATATTTTTGAGGTATTATTTTTAGTATTTTACCTCTTATGTCAGCCTCACTAATACCATATTTAGGTTGCCAGTTATGCTATTTTCATACCTGAATTTGGTATTAATAAGTTATTTTTTTCCTGCTCGGATATCTATAGCGCTATGGTAAAAGATTTTAGAAAAAAAAAAACGGAATTTAGAGGGCTGCGGATAGAAAACCAATATGGTTAATCAATATAAATAAAACAATGTTCAATATCAAACTTTTTTGAAGCAAATTTCTCGAAATTTAAATATCAATCACATGGCATTTCCATGTGGGCTTACACAGGATATTTTGGTGATTAAATTAATTTTAAAATTCAATCACAGAAAAAACATGAAACCCTATTTTTCTTAGAATTTGGATTTTGCCTTCGTTTATGGGCAGTTTAAGAATGCCAAACGTGATCCAATCTGATACCAACAAGACACCAACTCGAATCAAACCCGACATGAGCCCAAAATTGGGTAATTTGTTCTCTTTTGACTTAAACATGGGCCACTAGACGAATCGCCATTAGTTCTACATCCATTGAAAGGTGAAATATTGAACTAAGAAGTTAAATTAATAAATCTTTTATGTGGAAAACACCATATTCAAGGAAAAAAAAAAACACAATTTATCTCATAAAAAACGCACATTCTGAAGCTCGAAAAACTTTATGAAATTCTTTGATCTCGGTAATTTTTAAAGATTTTTGACAATGAAAAATTTTTGTGTGGAAATACTTAAAAGAAATTTAATTAATTCATCGGATTTAAATTGTTTTCAAAATGTCCTGATATTAAATTCAATACCTCGAATATTCAAATATATTCTATATTCTGTGGGTTGGACATGTCTTTATGATCATAGACTTTGTTGGCGTGTCAACGCCAGCGCGCCGCTACTGTGATCAGACAGCAGCTCAGTTTCGACTATTGCGCATGACGTCGCGATGCGCAATAGGCGTGACAGATATTCGCAGCGATGACAGGTTTGGTACTCAGGTATTGGTGAGTAGAATAGAGGAATGATTTGGCAGAAGAGATGATTCAGCACAAACATGGGAGAGTGGGAGAGGAATTGGACTGATAACAGGATTGATAGGAGAATGAGTAAACAAATAATCTAGACAAAAAATTAGAAGGCAAGTGAAAGAACACAGATTGCAGAAAGTAATTACTAAATTTACTACTGAAACATTATCCTAAATATCTAAATTCCTTAGTGCTTATTTCTAAAATTATCAGGTAATTGGCTTAATGATAAAATCAAGTGAAATTTACTTAATCTAATATGTTTTTGGACAGGAGAGCATATGATAAATGAATTGTATATTTCCAACCTAAAACTAATATTCTTAAAACTATATTGTACCGCTGAACTTATACAACTATTTACAACTAAATTTATTATAGTACGGTGAATTAGTACGGCAAAGAAGAGGTATAGACATACCATCAGGCAAACGAAACACATAGTACGGGACTAAACGTAAGTTTATGCATGAAAATATGTTTAAAACAAAAAAACAGCATAACACACAGAAGCAAATAATTTAGTTCTTGGTTTAACTGCTAGATAACTGTTAAAATGAAGCATATTCTTTTTAGGATAATAATAATCTTCCGGACAGTAAATCAACCCCAGTACCGGTCGTTTTATTCCCGGGATTATTATTGCGGAATTTCCCGAAAAGTTGGCAATTTTCCAACATATTATTATTATCGTTTATTTACGAATAAACCGCGGTTATGTCGAATCGGTCTTTGCGATCAAAACGGTCGGGCAAGTCAAGTGATGTGGTAAAAAGTAGTGCAAATGGTGGTGTGCAAACGGTGGTCATGGAGGATCCGGAGGAGTCCCATCCCGGTCATACATGTCAGGTGTGCCGAGGAGAAGATACGGACGAGATGGTGAGATGCGACGATTGCCTGAAATGGCATCACTTCGGATGTGTCGGAGTCACGCAGGAGGTTGAGAATTATACCTGGAGATGTACCAAATGCGAAACAGCGAAAGGTGTCCAGGCAACAAGTTCAACTTCTGAAGCAGTTCGTCCTCATGAAGGTGGTGGTCATAAAAAGCAGTCGTCCGATCCCGTCGATGCTACCAACTCGAGTCAAGCAGAAGTCGCTGTCGATCCAGTTCCGTCCATCACAACTCTACAGTGGGATACGAGGAGTAAGAAGATAAACCCATCGATCAAACCGTCGAAAACAACCTCTATAGCATCGAGTCGCTCCTCGCAAGCCCTTGCGAAGCTAAAGCTCCAGAAGCTCGAGGACTTGAGGATAATTGAGCTGCGTGAAGCAGAACTTCAACGAGCGATTGCAGCGGAAGAAGCGAGAAAGGAGAGGGCCTATTTGGAGCAAAAATATCAGCTGATGGAGGAGGCTATAAGTGAAA